ATTAACTGTAGGTCCTCTTTTAGAAATACAGGCTAATCCTCCACTAAATCAGAACATTAACTGTAGGTCCTCTTTTAGAAATACAGGCTAATCCTCCACTAAATCAGAACATTAACTGTAGGTCCTCTTTTAGAAATACAGGCTAATCCTCCACTAAATCAGAACATGTAGGTCCTCTTTTAGTAATACAGGCTTATCCTCCACTAAATCAGAACATGTAGGTCCTCTTTTAGTAATACAGGCTAATCCTCCACTAAATCAGAACATGTAGGTCCTCTTTTAGAAATACAGGCTAATCCTCCACTAAATCAGAACATGTAGGTCCTCTTTTAGTAATACAGGCTAATCCTCCACTAAATCAGAACATTAACTGTAGGTCCTATTTTAGAAATACAGGCTAATCCTCCACTAAATCAGAACATGTAGGTCCTCTTTTAGTAATACAGGCTAATCCTCCACTAAATCAGAACATGTAGGTCCTCTTTTAGAAATACAGGCTAATCCTCCACTAAATCAGAACATTAACTGTAGGTCCTATTTTAGAAATACAGGCTAATCCCTCCACTAAATCAGAACATGTAGGTCCTCTTTTAGTAATACAGGCTAATCCTCCACTAAATCAGAACATGTAGGTCCTATTTTAGCAATACAGGCTAATCCTCCACTAAATCAGAACATTAACTGTAGGTCCTCTTTTAGAAATACAGGCTAATCCTCCACTAAATCAGAACATGTAGGTCCTCTTTAGAAATACAGGCTAATCCTCCACTAAATCAGAACATGTAGGTCCTCTTTTAGAAATACAGGCTAATCCTCCACTAAATCAGAACATGTAGGTCCTCTTTTAGAAATACAGGCTAATCCTCCACTAAATCAGGTCCTCTTTTAGAAATACAGGCTAATCCCCCACTAAATCAGAACATTAACTGTAGGTCCTCTTTTAGAAATACAGGCTAATCCTCCACTAAATCAGAACATTAACTGTAGGTCCTCTTTTAGAAATACAGGCTAATCCTCCACTAAATCAGAACATTAACTGTAGGTCCTCTTTTAGAAATACAGGCTAATCCTCCACTAAATCAGAACATTAACTGTAGGTCCTCTTTTAGAAATACAGGCTAATCCTCCACTAAATCAGAACATTAACTGTAGGTCCTCTTTTAGAAATACAGGCTAATCCTCCACTAAATCAGAACATTAACTGTAGGTCCTCTTTTAGAAATACAGGCTAATCCTCCACTAAATCAGAACATTAACTGTAGGTCCTCTTTTAGAAATACAGGCTAATCCTCCACTAAATCAGAACATTAACTGTAGGTCCTCTTTTAGAAATACAGGCTAATCCTCCACTAAATCAGAACATTAACTGTAGGTCCTCTTTTAGAAATACAGGCTAATCCTCCACTAAATCAGAACATGTAGGTCCTCTTTTAGAAATACAGGCTAATCCTCCACTAAATCAGAACATTAACTGTAGGTCCTCTTTTAGAAATACAGGCTAATCCTCCACTAAATCAGAACATTAACTGTAGGTCCTCTTTTAGAAATACAGGCTAATCCTCCACTAAATCAGAACATGTAGGTCCTCTTTTAGTAATACAGGCTAATCCTCCACTAAATCAGAACATTAACTGTAGGTCCTCTTTTAGAAATACAGGCTAATCCTCCACTAAATCAGAACATTAACTGTAGGTCCTATTTTAGAAATACAGGCTAATCCTCCACTAAATCAGAACATGTAGGTCCTCTTTTAGTAATACAGGCTAATCCTCCACTAAATCAGAACATGTAGGTCCTCTTTTAGAAATACAGGCTAATCCTCCACTAAATCAGAACATTAACTGTAGGTCCTCTTTTAGAAATACAGGCTAATCCTCCACTAAATCAGAACATTAACTGTAGGTCCTCTTTTAGAAATACAGGCTAATCCTCCACTAAATCAGAACATTAACTGTAGGTCCTCTTTTAGAAATACAGGCTAATCCTCCACTAAATCAGAACATTAACTGTAGGTCCTCTTTTAGTAATACAGGCTAATCCTCCACTAAATCAGAACATGTAGGTCCTCTTTTAGAAATACAGGCTAATCCTCCACTAAATCAGAACATTAACTGTAGGTCCTCTTTTAGAATACAGGCTAATCCTCCACTAAATCAGAACATTAACTGTAGGTCCTCTTTTAGAAATACAGGCTAATCCTCCACTAAATCAGAACATGTAGGTCCTCTTTTAGAAATACAGGCTAATCCTCCACTAAATCAGAACATGTAGGTCCTCTTTTAGCAATACAGGCTAATCCTCCACTAAATCAGAACATGTAGGTCCTCTTTTAGAAATACAGGCTAATCCTCCACTAAATCAGAACATGTAGGTCCTCTTTTAGAAATACAGGCTAATCCTCCACTAAATCAGAACATGTAGGTCCTCTTTTAGAAATACAGGCTAATCCTCCACTAAATCAGAACATTAACTGTAGGTCCTCTTTTAGAAATACAGGCTAATCCTCCACTAAATCAGAACATTAACTGTAGGTCCTCTTTTAGAAATACAGGCTAATTCTCCACTAAATCAGAACATTAACTGTAGGTCCTCTTTTAGAAATACAGGCTTATCCTCCACTAAATCAGAACATTAACTGTAGGTCCTATTTTAGAAATACAGGCTAATCCTCCACTAAATCAGAACATTAACTGTAGGTCCTATTTTAGAAATACAGGCTAATCCTCCACTAAATCAGAACATTAACTGTAGGTCCTCTTTTAGAAATACAGGCTAATCCTCCACTAAATCAGAACATTAACTGTAGGTCCTCTTTTAGAAATACAGGCTAATCCTCCACTAAATCAGAACATTAACTGTAGGTCCTCTTTTAGAAATACAGGCTAATCCTCCACTAAATCAGAACATTAACTGTAGGTCCTCTTTTAGAAATACAGGCTAATCCTCCACTAAATCAGAACATTAACTGTAGGTCCTCTTTTAGAAATACAGGCTAATCCTCCACTAAATCAGAACATTAACTGTAGGTCCTATTTTAGAAATACAGGCTAATCCTCCACTAAATCAGAACATTAACTGTAGGTCCTATTTTAGAAATACAGGCTAATCCTCAACTAAATCAGAACATTAACTGTAGGTCCTATTTTAGAAATACAGGCTAATCCTCCACTAAATCAGAACATTAACTGTAGGTCCTATTTTAGAAATACAGGCTAATCCTCCACTAAATCAGAACATTAACTGTAGGTCCTCTTTTAGAAATACAGGCTAATCCTCCACTAAATCAGAACATTAACTGTAGGTCCTATTTAAGAAATACAGGCTAATCCTCCACTAAATCAGAACATTAACTGTAGGTCCTATTTTAGAAATACAGGCTAATCCTCAACTAAATCAGAACATTAACTGTAGGTCCTATTTTAGAAATACAGGCTAATCCTCCACTAAATCAGAACATTAACTGTAGGTCCTATTTTAGAAATACAGGCTAATCCTCCACTAAATCAGAACATTAACTGTAGGTCCTATTTTAGAAATACAGGCTAATCCTCAACTAAATCAGAACAACTTATTGAGCATCTTATTTGGACAAATTTATTCCAGCAACATTATGATGTGAGTTAAACTATATCAGAGTAAGGCTGAATTGGGTGTGCTCTGAACTACATGGTATCTTATGTAACGTTTAGTTATGTGTGTAGATGACTTGACCTGAAATAATGACGTGCTAAAATGAGATGTATACTTGTAGTGTAGGTCTAGTTGGTCTACTGTCTAGGCCTGTACAGTGTACAGTGTACAGTGTACAAGCTTTCAACACATCTGATATATACAGTCGGAACATCAAGGTTATGTGCAGTGTTAATAATAAGTTATTCGAGCTGTTCATTTAGAATTAAAACAAGTCCTTCATATCATGGAACCAGGGTGTTACCAGGGTGTTACCAGGGTGTTACCAGGGTGTTACCAGGGTGTTACCAGGGTGTTACCAGGGTGTTACCAGGGTGTTACCAGGCTAGGGTGTTACCAGGGTGTTACCAGGGTGTTACCAGGGTGTTACCAGGGTGTTACCAGGGTGTTACCAGGGTGTTACCAGGGTGTTACCAGGGTGTTACCAGGGTGTTACCAGGGTGTTACCAGGGTGTTACCAGGGTGTTACCAGGGTGTTACCAGGGTGTTACCAGGTGTTACCAGGGTGTTACGTAACGGTTTATTACAAGGTTGGAATGTGTAGTGTACATGCTATGTAACGGTTTATAAATACAATTATATACATTTGATGACGTCAGAATGTTAATGATATCACGTCTTATCTGTCTTATTAGTTATTAGATAAAGTTATAAATAAATAAAAGGGACACTTACCTAATATAATATAATTAACCTCTATAATTCCAGTACAAATTCCAGATTTTCCTGTCAGCGCGGCGAGTACAGAGCCTTATCAGTGTCACTTTCATAGAAGTTCTAGAAAAAATTAGAAAATAATATGATATTATAGATACACTAATCCATGTAAAAATTGCGATCTAATCTGAAACCTTAATTTGAGTCGTTCACCTGATTGAGATACAATGTCACCCTAATAGAAGTCTCACAAAGAGAAAATACATTATGAATATGTGGTGACGAATGTTCTGGAATTTATAGAAATTTGAAAGTCCAAACAAGGTTAATTTATTGAGTTTAGCGCCAGTGATACAATTATTTTGTGTATAATGCAAGACTAGCAATGAGATCATTCATCTTAGATAACCTTATCTTAGAGTTTAAACCAAGATACTTTTCAAATGTAAGTATATTAGAATTAGCAGCGATTTCTTGCTATAGTATTAGCAGATAATTACAATCTAATCCCGTGTTGGAAGTTTTAATTCCATGTGAAAGTTAAAAAAGAGAAGTAGTTTGAGTGTATATATTATGTATATATACATAATATATACACTCAAACTACTTCTCTTTTTTAACTTTCACCATAATATATACACATAATATATATATTATGTGTATATATTATGGTCTTGTGAGTAGATTGTATTGTGTTGTAACTCAAACTTAACACCGTGTTGGTCACGTGATGGTCACGTGTTTCTTAGGTCACTAAATCTTAGAATCGAGTTTTCGTGATTCTCAGAGTTATAGAACATTTGAAACAGAACGCTGGAAGTCAACATAAGTACGCAAAACATGGAAAAGGTACATAGGACTTTGGACATTGATATTGACATAGGACGTTGGACATAGGACTTTGGACATTGATATTGACATAAGACGTTGGACATAGGACTTTGGACATTGATATTGACATAAGACGTTGAACATAGGACTTTCGACACCGATATTGACATAAGACGTTGGACATAGGACTTTGGACACCAATATTGACATAAGACGTTGGACATAGGACTTTGGACACCGATATTGACATAAGACGTTGGACATAGGACTTTTGACACCAATATTGACATAAGACGTTGAACATAGGACTTTGGACACAGACATTGACATAAGACGTTGGACATGAGACTTCGAACACTGATATTGACATAAGACGTTAGAAATAGGACTTTGGACACCAATATTGACATAAGACGTTGAACATAGGACTTTGGACACCAATATTGACATAAAACGTTGAACATGAGACTTCGAACACTGATATTGACATAAGACGTTGGACATAGGACTTTGGACACTAATATTGACATAAGACGTTCAACATAGGACTTTGGACATTGATATTGACCTAAGACGTTGGACATAGGACTTTGGACACCGATATTGACATAAGACGTTGGATATAGGACTTTGGACACCAATATTGACATAAGACGTTGAACATAGGACTTTGGACACATACATTGACATAAGACGTTGGACGTGAGACTTCGAACACTGATATTGACATAAGACGTTGGACATAGGACGTTCGATGATTGGACAAGACATAAGTAACTAACATATAAGACATAATATAGTACGCAAAGAAAGAGTGAACATTGACGGTTACAACGAATAATCCAGATATCTTGAGTCTGTGGTAATACGAGCTTATTATTGTGAAAATGAGCAAGTTAAAAACAATTTTACCGGCTGTAAATACATTTAACACTCACTGTAGACACCACACTCGATAGTATGCTCGTTATTTTCCCAAGCAAAGGATATATCCAGAAAATTATGTGTAAATCATTCGTCCGCATAATACATAATATACATCCGACTAACTTATTTATTACCATAGCTTTCACATAAACATTGTATTATTTCTTGTTGTAACTTTGTGTTTTAATGGTGTTACGTTAAAACATCAACACTTTAATTGATGATTAACTTAGAGCAGTAATGGTAAAAACTTTTTAAAAATGTAAGTTGTTTAGTTTAACTAAAATAAAATATTTATATAACTAACTAACTGCAAAAAAATAAAAATCTTTAAGATTAAGATTAAACTTATCATCGGTAGTCATACATCGACAAGCATGCTGTAGGACTATAAAATGAATTAATTAACTAATTAACCAGATAATTAACTAAGTGCAAGGTCAAAAGACAAATAACCGCAAAATCAATCAATCGTAAACCTAATCGCTAGGACATTTACCATTTTCGTGCTTTCATTTCGTGTTTCATTTCTCAACTTAAACTCCTTTAACTTCAGATAAACTGACGACAATCCCGAAGAGCTAACAAAGCTAAAACTACAATTCAAAATACTAAGTCCACAACGAAGAAAACAGATAATATCACTAACAAGATGGAATAAGTCACGTGATACGTTCTACTCTCAGGTACTCCCTCCATGTCTACTCTAACGAAAGGGTAGGCTGTAGAGATGCCGTTCTGACTGAACGCTACTACCCAGAAGTAGTGCGATCTGTTCCCTGCTAGACCTGCACAGGAGGTGTGGTTAGTGGTGTGGTTAGTGGTGTGGTTAGTGGTGTGGTTAGTGGTGTGGTTAGTGGTGTGGTTAGTGGTGTGGTTAGTGGTGTGGTTAGTGGTGTGGTTAGTGGTGTGGTTAGTGGTGTGGTTAGTGGTGTGGTTAGTGGTGTGGTTAGTGGTGTGGTTAGTGGTGTGGTTAGTTCTGACTGAACGCTACTATCCAGAAGTAGTGCGATCTGTTCCCTGCTAGACCTGCACAGGAGGTGTGGTTAGTGGTGTGGTCTAAGATGGCAAGTACGTACGGTACAGGGCTTTAAGTACGTATGGTACAGCTACTTTTAAAGGTACGTACCGTATAGGCCCTATAGGGTACAGACTTTTTTGGGGAAAAAATGAAACATTTTTTTCAAAGTTAGTGGAGTACTTGCAATGTTCCTTTAGTATTATCATAATTTTATTTGAGGTAGTAGTCGAAGAGGAACATGAATTATTAAGATAGTAAATTAACAGTGAGATATAAAAATGAACAGTGACAGATAAAATCAGTATCACATTTTAATGTGCTTATTGGAGTAAATAAACACTAGTTTTTCAGCAAGCTGAGGCTTCAGCCTCAGCCTTCTTTTATTCATATAATAAGATATTCATATAATAAGATATTCGTAGTCTCTAAAGTTTGTTTCACACATTAATGAGGATGCGCTAAAAATCGCGTAAACAACATCTGCCAACTTTTTCAACCAACATAATTCAAAGCGCCAAATCCAATGTCACATGGTCCAACCCTTCTTGCTTCTGGAACATTCTTGTACAACTGCTCTAAATCTAATGGTATAAATTGAAATGCAGCGATGAGCGAATTCAGCTTCCATGAAAGTTGTCGTGTGAACGTGGTTTTTGTGCATCTTTTTGCAATTGCAAGCATTGTACCTTTCAGCCCAAGTTTAAAAGTACGTACCGTACAGCTATTTTTAAAGGTACGTACCGTACGTACTTGCCATCTTAGGGTGTGGTTAGTGGTGTGGTTAGTGGTGTGGTTAGTGGTGTGGTTAGTGGTGTGGTTAGTGGTGTGGTTAGTGGTGTGGTTAGTGGTGTGGTTAGTGGTGTGGTTAGTGGTTAGTGGTGTGGTTAGTGGTGTGGTTAGTGGTGTGGTTAGTGGTGTGGTTAGTGGTGTGGTTAGTTCTGACTGAACGCTACTACCCAGAAGTAGTGCGATCTGTTCCCTGCTAGACCTGCACAGGAGGTGTGGTTAGTGGTGTGGTTAGTGGTGTGGTTAGTGGTGTGGTTAGTGGTGTGGTTAGTGGTGTGGTTAGTGGTGTGGTTAGTGGTTAGTGGTGTGGTTAGTGGTGTGGTTAGTGGTGTGGTTAGTGGTGTGGTTAGTTCTGACTGAACGCTACTACCCAGAAGTAGTGCGATCTGTTGCCTGCTAGACCTGCACAGGAATTGTTAGGTTGCAGCGTGTATAGTCAAATTAAAGGCGTGGGGTCAGCCCAGATATCGACTAATATCGACCGATCGATATTACTTATTAGTCGCCTTAAGTCACCAATGGCTTGAGCCCTGACCCCACGCCTAAGTAAGTACATTAGTAGTGTTATAAACATCTAACTATTAATGTGACAACATGCAAATCATTGTCCACAGATCCTTTGTATATCATGGAGCACCATACCCAAGCTACACCGCTCTCTCCCCTGAATGTTTGAAGCTACACCCCTCTCTCCCCTGAATGTTTGAAACTACACCCTCCCTCCCTCTGAATGTTTGAAGCTACACCCCTCTCTCCCCTGAATGTTTGCAGCTACACTCCTCTCTCCCCCTGAATGTTTGCAGCTACACCCCTCTCTCCCCCTGAATGTTTGAAGCTACACCCCTCTCTCCCCCTGAATGTTTGAAGCTACACCCCTCTCTCCCCTGAATGTTTGAAGCTACACTCCTCTCTCCCCTGAATGTTTGAAGCTACACCCCTCTCTCCCCCTGAATGTTTGAAGCTACACTCCTCTCTCCCCCTGAATGTTTGCAGCTACACTCCTCTCTCCCCTGAATGTTTGAAGCTACACTCCTCTCTCCCCCTGAATGTTTGCAGCTACACCCTCTCTCCCCCTGAATGTTTGAAGCTACACCCCTCTCTCCCCTGAATGTTTGCAGCTACACTCCTCTCTCCCCCTGAATGTTTGAAGCTACACCCCTCTCTCCCCTGAATGTTTGCAGCTACACCGCTCTCTCCCCTGAATGTTTGAAGCTACACCCCTCTCTCCCCTGAATGTTTGAAACTACACCCTCCCTCCCTCTGAATGTTTGAAGCTACACCCCTCTCTCCCCTGAATGTTTGCAGCTACACTCCTCTCTCCCCCTGAATGTTTGCAGCTACACCCCTCTCTCCCCCTGAATGTTTGAAGCTACACCCCTCTCTCCCCCTGAATGTTTGAAACTACACTCCTCTCTCCCCTGAATGTTTGAAGCTACACCCCTCTCTCCCCTGAATGTTTGCAGCTACACCCCTCTCTCCCCTGAATGTTTGCAGCTACACCCCTCTCTCCCCTGAATGTTTGCAGCTACACTCCTCTCTCCCCTGAATGTTTGAAGCTACACCCCTCTCTCCCCTGAATGTTTGCAGCTACACTCCTCTCTCCCCCTGAATGTTTGAAGCTACACCCCTCTCTCCCCTGAATGTTTGCAGCTACACCCCTCTCTCCCCCTGAATGTTTGAAGCTACACCCCTCTCTCCCCCTGAATGTTTGAAGCTACACTCCTCTCTCCCCTGAATGTTTGAAGCTACACCCCTCTCTCCCCCTGAATGTTTGAAGCTACACTCCTCTCTCCCCCTGAATGTTTGCAGCTACACTCCTCTCTCCCCTGAATGTTTGCAGCTACACTCCTCTCTCCCCCTGAATGTTTGAAGCTACACTCCTCTCTCCCCTGAATGTTTGAAGCTACACCCCTCTCTCCCCCTGAATGTTTGAAGCTACACCCCTCTCTCCCCTGAATGTTTGCAGCTACACTCCTCTCTCCCCCTGAATGTTTGAAGCTACACTCCTCTCTCCCCCTGAATGTTTGAAGCTACACTCCTCTCTCCCCCTGAATGTTTGAAGCTACACCCCTCTCTCCCCCTGAATGTTTGAAGCTACACTCCTCTCTCCCCTGAATGTTTGAAGCTACACTCCTCTCTCCCCCTGAATGTTTGCAGCTACACTCCTCTCTCCCCTGAATGTTTGAAGCTACACTCCTCTCTCCCCTGAATGTTTGAAGCTACACCCCTCTCTCCCCTGAATGTTTGAAGCTACACTCCTCTCTCCCCCTGAATGTTTGAAGCTACACTCCTCTCTCCCCCTGAATGTTTGAAGCTACACCCCTCTCTCCCCCTGAATGTTTGAAGCTACACTCCTCTCTCCCCTGAATGTTTGAAGCTACACTCCTCTCTCCCCCTGAATGTTTGAAGCTACACTCCTCTCTCCCCTGAATGTTTGAAGCTACACTCCTCTCTCCCCCTGAATGTTTGAAGCTACACTCCTCTCTCCCCCTGAATGTTTGAAGCTACACCCCTCTCTCCCCCTGAATGTTTGAAGCTACACCCTCTCTCCCCCTGAATGTTTGAAGCTACACTCCTCTCTCCCCCTGAATGTTTGAAGCTACACTCCTCTCTCCCCCTGAATGTTTGAAGCTACACTCCTCTCTCCCCCTGAATGTTTGAAGCTACACTCCTCTCTCCCCCTGAATGTTTGAAGCTACACCCCTCTCTCCCCCTGAATGTTTGCAGCTACACTCCTCTCTCCCCTGAATGTTTGAAGCTACACCCTCTCTCCCCCTGAATGTTTGAAGCTACACCCCTCTCTCCCCCTGAATGTTTGAAGCTACACCCCTCTCTCCCCTGAATGTTTGAAGCTACACCCCTCTCTCCCCTGAATGTTTGAAGCTACACCCTCTCTCCCCTGAATGTTTGAAGCTACACCCCTCTCTCCCCCTGAATGTTTGAAGCTACACTCCTCTCTCCCCTGAATGTTTGAAGCTACACCCCTCTCTCCCCTGAATGTTTGAAGCTACACCCCTCTCTCCCCCTGAATGTTTGAAGCTACACCCCTCTCTCCCCCTGAATGTTTGAAGCTACACCCCTCTCTCCCCCTGAATGTTTGAAGCTACACTCCTCTCTCCCCCTGAATGTTTGAAGCTACACTCCTCTCTCCCCTGAATGTTTGAAGCTACACTCCTCTCTCCCCCTGAATGTTTGAAGCTACACCCCTCTCTCCCCCTGAATGTTTGAAGCTACACTCCTCTCTCCCCCTGAATGTTTGCAGCTACACTCCTCTCTCCCCTGAATGTTTGAAGCTACACCCCTCTCTCCCCCTGAATGTTTGAAGCTACACTCCTCTCTCCCCCTGAATGTTTGAAGCTACACCCCTCTCTCCCCCTGAATGTTTGAAGCTACACCCCTCTCTCCCCCTGAATGTTTGAAGCTACACTCCTCTCTCCCCTGAATGTTTGCAGCTACACTCCTCTCTCCCCCTGAATGTTTGAAGCTACACCCCTCTCTCCCCCTGAATGTTTGAAGCTACACCCCTCTCTCCCCCTGAATGTTTGAAGCTACACCCTCTCTCCCCCTGAATGTTTGAAGCTACACCCCTCTCTCCCCCTGAATGTTTGCAGCTACACTCCTCTCTCCCCCTGAATGTTTGCAGCTACACCCCTCTCTCCCCTGAATGTTTGAAGCTACACCCCTCTCTCCCCCTGAATGTTTGAAACTACACCCCTCTCTCCCCCTGAATGTTTGCAGCTACACTCCTCTCTCCCCCTGAATGTTTGAAGCTACACTCCTCTCTCCCCTGAATGTTTGAAGCTACACTCCTCTCTCCCCCTGAATGTTTGAAACTACACTCCTCTCTCCCCCTGAATGTTTGCAGCTACACTCCTCTTTCCCCCTGAATGTTTGAAGCTACACCCCTCTCTCCCCCTGAATGTTTGAAGCTACGGGGGGGGGGGGGGGGGGGGGGGGGGGGGGGTAATGACTACCAATGGA